CCGCCGCGCTGGCTGTCCCTGATCCTCGCCTGTCCGCCTCCACATCCGCGTGAGGGGATGCCAAGCCCTCATGCTCCTCCATCGGCAGCCACAGGAGGGCCTCTCGCGCACCTTCCCTTCCTATCTTCCTTCTCCTTCCTTCTCCCGCACACCCTCTCACTTCTCTCTGTTCTCCTGCAGGTACCCGCCATAGCCACCATGGACAGCAGCCATGCGGCAGGAGCTCGCCATCGAAGTCCCCCGAGCACCGTCCGCCCCGAATCTAGCCGGGAACCGGGCGAGGCCGAGCCCTCGCGCCCAGATCCACGCGTGGCTCAGTGCCACAACCACCATCACCGGAGATCCGACAGAGATCATCAACCCCACGACCTCTACCTCCCAACCCCCGCGTACCCGCCGCCCCAGCCAGTGCGTCGCCCTATGCACTCCACCGCCGGCAGCAAGAGCTTGGACGCCGCCACCACCACGCAGACTCCTCCCGGTGGGGCACAACCATCGCAGCAATCTGGAGGTTCACCGTGGCTACCTCGAGCGGTTCAACTGACGCGCCCCCGCTTCTGGAACCACCTGCCAGGACGACCACCACCCCTTCCTCCTCCTGTTGCAGGTGACCTTCCTCCTCCTGCTGAAGCTGACCTTCCTTCCTCCTGCTGCTTAATCTTGTTGTCTTGGATGATTAAACCACGTCACATTCTGCTCGTTTCAATTCTGCAGCGGCGTATCACATAGAGAAGTTCGACCCGGACAACCGCTTCAGTTTGATGTCACTGCATAGTGCAGCTTTTTATGCTCTTTTCTTGTTTTGACAAAAATGTTGTTTTTGTAGATTTGTGCACATAAAGTTCAAAAAAATAATGGAGATAAGCGTCAAGTATGTGTGTGTGTGTGTGTGGTGAGGTTGAGGTTCAAAAAACGTGTGTGGTGATGGTGAGGTTCAGAAGAACATGTGTGTGCTGGAGAAATTCACTAGCTTTTTTAATCGGGACACAAGTAATAGCTTATTTTGTGCAAACATAAAGACAAAAAAATGTATGCGTATTTTATAAAAAAGAAATTAACAAATGGTCATGTATCGTCCCATGAAAATTCATGCATATGAAAAAGGGAAATTCGGAAGGTCGGGGGTGATGAACAGAGAAGTTCATGTATCAATGTTGAGGAAGGTCAGGACAAAGGTACTCAACCCACTGTGGTGTCTCACACCAACTATACATGCTCAATGACCTCTCTGTTCATCAAGAAATTCAAGTTTCCTTAAGCCACATTGTTGTGCTGTGAAAATGCGTTGGTTCTATGCGCCTTGGAGAAAAATGGGTTTGAAAATCTTGTTTTCGTGTTGTCCCACTGAAAAATGCCTTCATTTCTTTCTTAAACAAGTTAAGTGTTGTGAGAATTGTTGGTTTTTTATCTCTCTATCATTACATGATAGTGAACATATCAACTAAAAAAACACATCTGATGATTTCATACGTTTTTAGAATTTGGATACTTCAAGGTGTGTCTGATGAGAAAGTTTGTACACTATAAAAAAATGTGGCTAACAATTCGAGGGAGTGCACATTGTTCAATTCTTGAACATCAAAGACAAAAATATGAGGAAGTTAAAAAAATCAAATAATATAACGAAGAAGTTCAAATTAAAACAAGAGAGTAGTTCAATCTATATAAAAAAACTCAGATTTTCCTTCTTACTAAATAAATATAACCAAGAAGTTCTATTAAAAAAGCGAAGCAGTTCGATAATAATTACAAAAGTCGGATTTTTCCCGTTACTCAAAAATAAAAACCAAGAAAGTCCGAAATTTAAAAAAATGCACGCAATTCAATGTTTAATTATGAACAAAAACCATGACGGAAGTTCAAAAGTAAATACAGAGAGCAATTCAAAAACCGATATGATGAAGCGTAGTTTTCTGGCGAAGAAGGTTGTTCCTAAAAAACCTAGAAGTTCAAATTCAAATAATGGTGTAGTTTGAAGTTTAAAAAAATCCAGAATTTCGCTTTTGAAAAAATAAATAAAAACTTAGAAGTTCAATTTAGAATAACAAAGCATAAAATACGTCACATAAAATGCTCTGTTATTCTAAATTGAATTTCGCTTTTGAAAATATAAGAAGTTCATAGTGAAAACAACGAGAAGTTCAAGTACTGCAAGGAATGCATTTCAGGTGAGAATAAAAGTATAGAAAAATAAAAGTTTAAAAAGTTTGTTGAAAGAAGTTCAAGTGATCTTTCCGGGGAAGTTCAAAAATTCTTGCGAGAGAGGTTCACCTTGTATTTCCTTGTTCGATTTTTTCCGTAATAAAATCGAATACAATTCTTTACTCAAAATATAAAAAGGTGAAGTTCAAATTGAAACAACAAAGAAGTTCGGAGTTTATAAAAACCAGGGATTTACCTATTCAAAAAATAAAAAACACACGCCATTTTTTGCACTTTTAAAAACAACTCAGAAACGAAAAAATGGTTGTTAGAAGTTCAAGTGCTCGGCGAGGAAAAGTTCAAAAAATTCTTGTGAGAAAGGTTCACCATGTATTTAGATGTCCAAAATACGTAAAAATGTAGTTTTTTGTGTTTTAAAATAATTCTCTTAAACCAGAGAGGGGTTCAAAGTGATAACAACCGGAAGTTCACGTGCTACATTGTGTGTATTTCATATAAGAAAAAAAATACAATAAAGTGTAACAGAGTGAAGTTCAAACAGACATGCCCTAGAAGTTCAACTACTTCACGCGGTGCAAAAAGCAACACGTCAAAAACAGAGTGAAGTTCAAACAAACATGCCCCAGAAGTTCACACAGTGCATTTTCGTTCGCGATGAACGCATAAATCGTGATCTCACCATTTTCTAATTTACCTCAAAATGACAGGAATATCATTTGTGTAAGTTCAAGTCCTCGGTCGAAGAAAGTTAAAAAAATTATTGTGAGAAACGTTTGCACAAAAGGAATATTATTTGTGTAACACTAAGGAATGGATGAGAAAATTACAAACAAAAATACGTCACAGAAGTTCAACGTGAAAACAACAGAAAGTTCAACTACTACGCTTAATGAATTTTAGATGAAAAACTTTTAAAATCGTCGCGAGTATGAAAAGATGATCAACATGGGAAACTTGCGTGTTTACAGCAGCTTTCCATCGGTATATCACCTGCTCAATTCCGGTGAATGGATGGAGAGCTACTTGCAGTGGATGGAGATCTATGAGAAAAAAACACACATGAAAAATAGAGTGAAGTTCAAGCACACACGCTGAGAAGTTCAAGTTCTTCACGTGGTGCATATTTGAAGAATCTATTTCGCGATAAAAGCAGAATGCATGATCTCGCCGTTTTCGAAATTACTTGAAAACGGCCAGGATTCAGAGAAAACCATCAACATGAAAAAGTTTCAAATTTTCCGTAGCTTTTCAGAGGTAAATTATTTGCCCCATTCCGATAAAGTTTGTAGAAATTACGGCAAAAATATGTTTTTAACCATTTTAAAAAGTGACATAAAACTGTAATGAATTAGGAGAAACAATATATACAAAACAGTTTCACATTTCTTCAAGCTTTCCAACGCCGCATCATTTGCTGCATTTGGACGTACAGTTAAAAAATTAGCTCGAAAATACGAACTCGGTGGAACTTGTACCGTTTTCTAAATTACTTTTAAACCGTTCAAAATTAGAAAAAACTTTTAACATTAAAAAGTAGCGCATTTTTGTAAGCTTTCCAACGCCATATTATTTGCCTCCATTGGATTAGCCGTTTAGAAATGGCATCGAAAATACAAACTCGGGTGTTCCGTTTGCGAAATTCTATGATTTTCCGAATTTCTCTTTAACCGTAGGGAATTATAGAAAACTTTAAACATGTGGAAGGATCGGTTTTGCAGCAGCTTTCCAACGCCATATTATTTGCCTCATTCCGATAAACGGTTTAAAAATGCGATCGAAAATATGATTTACATTTTTTATATGAAGAAAAAACGATTTTCAAAACTGCTCTTAAACCGCTTACATTTTGCCAAAAATTTAACTTGGGTCATGATACTGATGTCAATAGCTATCCAACGGTATATCGCAAGCCCCATTTGGACACCTTTTAGCTGAAGTTCAACCTAGTACTCGGGGAAGGTCAGGCGCGTTACTCGGGAAGTTCATGTTGTGATCAGAATATTATTCTGATCCCGTGAT